TTGCCATGGCAACCAGATTTCTGCATGGAATGAAATTCTTTGAACAACTTTCGAAGCCCTTCACCCAAGGAACAATCATGTCAAGTTTGGTTGAAATTAGACTAGTGGTTTTTCACAAGAAGATTTTTTAAGTTCACTATATAATCTATATAACACACACACAAACACACACACACACACGCACAAACACACAGGTGAATCGCTATATGCCACCGCATCGCAGATGCTGCGGTGGCATAAAAATGGCAAACTGTATAAATAGCCTCATAAAACTCATTCTTCAGAAAACCAAAGTTCATGAACATTCATAAGGGCTTCAAGAAGGATTAAGTTTGATGAATCATCAATGTATGTTACATGTCTTAATAATGATAAAATAGAGAAAAACAGAATCCCTAAAGAAAGCCAAACACGGCAAAATTGAAAATGTTGCAGGCTCGGTTTGATTGAGCCTGTTCATGGACGGTACTGGAAAGTGCAAGTTACCGTCCACGCCCGCTAGCACCGGCTTAAGCAGAATTCAACATTTAAACACGAAAAATGGTGAAATTTTGAATTTAGAAACATCCGCAGATGTTTTCATACGGCGGTTATCATGGAACCTTCAATGTGACACAGTAGTGATAAGCCATAAACCAGGATATAGAAATCGGCCAAAGCCATTCAGTTAACAATATTTCTATACTTACTTGAAATGTTGGTGGCTTAAGAGGTAGGAAAGCATCATTACTAGAGTATGTTGTTACATATGATATTATTGGTTAAATTCAATCATGGGTAACTGATATTTCGGATTATAAAAACTTGTTGAATGGATATAAATGTTTTTATTGTTAGGCAAAGAAGTCTGTATATGGAGGTTAAGTAATTTAACTATGTGAAATAGATAAATACAGAATCCCTAAAGAAAGCCCAACACGGCAAAATTGAAAATGTTGCAGGCTCGGTTTGATTGATTTCAAATTAAACTATGGGGTCATTTTTTATGTGTAATGAGGCTGTGTTTAATACTGAGCTTCCAGTGATGGATATATGTTGTGTATTTACCACCAGAAGGTTTACCATTTAATTTTTGATACAGATGCATTTGAAAATCTTCGAGTTTATTAGACAAGTGTGTTACTATATATTACAATACTGGCAATATTGTATGTGGAACTGCTTCTCTTAATGATGACATTTCACAGACAACAGATATTCCGCAGATTAAAGATCCTGTAACTCAATCTTCTATGTTTTTTTTTGTCATAAATATAATGCTCAAATGAAGATTTATCAATGTTTTAAGTTCGAAAAAGCATTACTTTTATAGATATTACCGAATTAACATTTCATGTTAAAAAAGGGAAGTAATTAGAAATTTATTTTCTTTAAAGTCTAAGTCAAACTTTTCAATAAAAAACAAATGCCAATATATTAATGATTACATATAATGTGGAAACATATTTGCAATACATATTTTACATATTCTTCGATGTTTGAAAAATGTTTTAGAATCATAATTATATGCATATATGAAATTTCACTTAAGTGTGGTAACAACATTAATTACAACATACAGGATCTTTAATGAGTATGACGATTTATTGAATGACATAAATATGCCAGATCGTGCAAATATAGAAACTTATTTAAGTTATAGGAACAGATTTTAGAAAGTATTGATTGTCTTTTGTTGAATTATCTCATTACTTATTGTGAATGGCAGACTTGGTAAGGACAACGGAATAGGCGACTGTACATATAATTCATCAAATGGTTTCAAGTACTATCGATTATTATATTGATTCAAGAGTATTATTTGACACTATATTTTAGAATTAATAATCATGGTTTATATGATCATTGGCCAATTATATTTTAAACTGTATTATATATAAATATAAATGCATACTATGAACAATGTATGGAATTTGCTTACAAATGCGACTTAAGCGATCAAAATTCAGAAATAAACCTAGGTATTGTCACTGAAAATGTATTAAATTGTCATTTTGATGCTGTAAGTAAATGCATAGAAACCGTAGGTAATGTTGACACTGTATTGGAGATAATTGAAAACATTTTTATCAAGTAGACCTTTTACAAAGCGTATGCTTACTAAAATTCTTTTTAAAAAAGTAAATCTAAATGGTTTGACCATTAATATAAACGTCTCAAACAATTTAAGAATAGAATGTTTAGACTGTTTAGAAATAGTAAAAAATAAATGACCGTAAATATGATAAACAAGATCAACAGTGAACGCTTATTTAAATGTTAAACAGGAATTTGTTAAAATATGCAAAAGTAAACAAATCTCATAATAATGAAAGTACACTTAAATCAAACGAGGATTCAATTCTTAACCAGAGACATTCTGATCTAAAGTAAAATGTCAAAACCATAAGAAAACCTAACGACCAATGTCTTGGTTGATCATTTTAAGTCTTTGTTTGCTACAGAAGGTAATTCAGTAACTACTGATTTTAGGCCAAATGTAATGCCAATTAAAGTTTTAACCCTATCTTATTTTTAATATTGATAAACTAGTTAGAAATGTTCTCGAAGAAAAAGATGTGCGTTGTATCCAGCTAACTCCAGAGTTACAGTAGTTGATGTTATGATATTAAATTATACATGTTTGCTGATGATAGATTAGTTACAGTTCAGGGTCTACAAAGTAAACTTAATGAATTTTGCAGCAACATTTGGATATTAATAAAACTCATATAATGGTGTTTAAAAATAGTGGCGCAATTGCAGGAGCTTATGGTTCCATGATTACCGCCATATGAACACATCTGCGGATGTTTCAAAATTCTAAATTTTACCAGTTACATTTTAGATGTTGAATTCTGCTTAAGCCGGTGCTAGGGGGCATGGACGGTAGTTTGCACTTGACAGTACAGTCCATAAACATGCTCAATCAAACCGAGCCTGCAACATTTTCAATTTTGCCGTGTTAGGCTTTCTTTAGGGATTCTTTCTGCCCCATTTTATACCTTTCTTGTAGTTTGCCGTTGCTCAAAATGGCTGAGAGTACATCTCTTAAAGCACAGCGAGTACTAACGTCTCTATTAAAATCATTAAATCATCTATATCCTTGTTATTGACCTTTTTTTTAATTATTAATTTTGATAGTAAAATAGCTCCAATGTTATTATTTGTAGCTCAAATTTGGGAAACTTTAATCAGAATTTAGCTGAGCGTTTAAGGAATGCTTTAATCGACGCATGTAATGCAGCAGTCCTTAATAACAGTTACTGTGGGCGCCAAAGCATGTACTGTGTTACTGCCAAAAAGGCTGTAAAATATTGGTTTCGGATATAACTTATGCCAAATTATCATTTTGTCAAAAATTATTACCAGATGCTTGTATAATTTGATTCTAATGATAACAAAAACTGGGTTACAAAGATTAGATTATATCTATACCAACTAAGCTTTGGTTATTTTTGGGATACACAATGTGTTGTTAATACTTATATTTTTTGTTTTTCATTCTCAACGCTTAACGTATATGGATCATCAAACTCGTCGAGTAAAAGTGCTAGGACTAAAAAAACTTTATTTTTACCATTCATTTGAAAAAGATCAAAAAAGGCATTAGTTGCATTTAGAAAATCTTCACATTAACTTATGATTGAAAAGGGGCGTTATCTGAAATTATCACGAGAAGAGAGAACTTGTAGTACCATTTCCTTCTTAATTGCCCACTTTATACTGAAATGTTTTATGTATCACCTTCATTTCATTGATTTAATGTTTTAATATCAAGCAATAATATATCAGTTGGTGAAATTTAACTTTGTATTTACATGTTTACCGGCTCTTGTAAAACGAAAACACTGTATAAGTACATGTCTTTATTAACAACTTAAACATGACATGATATATTATTAACGAAAATTATTGATTGAGTTTATAACTCCAGAACTTTGTCGTGTCATTCACATTTGTATATTCTGTATATGTGCATTGGCTGGTGGCCATATATCGCAATTAAAAGTATCATACTTGATCGTGTAGGTTTATTTATATAGAGAAAAAGCAGTACTTTAGCAGCTCATATGTTTTAATATTCTGATATATATACATTTCATCAACTTGAAGAATGTATTAAAATTATTTTACATAGTTATATAATAAATAATAAACTACTTAAGCATGGTTTTATAGGTATCACTTCTCAGTCGTCTGTCTTTCTGTCTGTTCGTCTTAAAACTTGTTCGACTACTATTCAGAAACTGCTGGTGCAATTTTCTCCAAACTTTACAGAAACGAACAGTACCATGTCCAGTTATCGCCGGCATTTTCGGTTCAATAATTGTGCCATAGTTATGGCCCTTGAAGTAAATATATTTCAGATAGGGTATCATAAATATTTTAGATTTTAGCTTTTTTGAGTGAACACGTCTCTATGTAATTTGCTTTGTAATAGTTATAGTATAGCGACACTACCTTTAAGTTGAAAAATTATGGCCTTCTTTGAAATACAGAAACTGATCGGGGTTTTTGTGCTTCTTAGGAGGTGGGGACAACCCTACAATTGTATACATATAAAGTTTACTATCCATTCATTATGTAAACATCATTTATTTGACATCTAATTGATATTTACTTGACCTATAATTGACTTCGTTTATTAAACTTCTAATTGACATATATGACCGCCTACGTGGTGAGGGGTTAGAGTCGACTTCATAATGACTTCTAATCCAGTTACCTCTCTGGCGTGGGTTCCATCCCCGGGAGATGCTTTGGTACTTTAGCGCGGAGGAAGGAAGTCTAGTACTGGTGTAACTCTCCTAGAACGATGGTTAGGAAACTACCCGCCTATATGACTGAAATACTGTTGGAAAAAGGCGTAAAAAAACAAAAGGTGTGAAACAAACAAACAAACAATTGACATATAAAAATATTTGATTAACAATTGAACCTGTGATGTGTAGCACGTAATATCTCCCAATTTATAAATATTTTGAAACATTAAGTGATTAATACGTGTATTAACTTACTTTCAAAACAAAATGTGAATCTCCTTTATTCATGCACGAATCAAACGATCGAATATCCAAGTTATAAACAACACATTATTTAACCAGTATCTTATGACTGATAAACATTAAGTAAGAATATTTACCTAATGTTTTTTCCAGTAACCCTATTATCAGTCTTGTCGTTCTTAACCGTTATATTTAAGCTATATTAAAGCTAACAGTATAAGATATGTATATATTTAAATCAAATATCTTTTTCAACACACACACACACAGGGTTGATATTTAGGTTTAACTTATCGAATTGGATTACATGCACATGACTACCGGTAATTTATATAGAACGTAAAAATGCTTTGCTTACGTAAGTTTATAATCGCGTTATAGATATAAACTGTAACTAATGAAATTACAGCGTTTGTGTTATGTTATGTTACATTTCACTATAAATAGTTAATAGGTTCAATCTAATCAATTAAGCCTCCTTTACAGACAAATAACTAATGTACTCAATCTACCTCGTGTTCATTTTTCAAGTCCAAATGTCCATAACCAATCCTTTTTTTACTCGTTATAGCAAAGTTTTGTCAAATGTTAAGAAATGTTTGTTTTAAATAAAGAGGTCATTAAACAAAGACAAATTCGACACTTAAACATATAATGCAAAACCTATACAAGACTTACATGTAGCCAGCGCCTCGTCAATGTAAGATTTACAGCTGTGTAGCCAGCGCCTCGTCAATGTAAGATTTACAGCTGTGTAGCCAGCGCCTCGTCAGTATAAGATTTACAGCAGTGTAGCCAGCGCCTCGTCAGAATAAGATTTACAGCTGTGTAGCCAGCGCCTCGTCAGTATAAGATTTACAGCTGTGTAGCCAGAGCATCGTCAATATAAGATTTACAGCTGTGTAGCCAGCGCCTCGTCAGTATAAGATTTACAGCTGTGTAGCCAGCGCCTCGTCAGTATAAGATTTACAGCTGTGTAGCCAGCGCCTCGTCAGTATAAGATTTACAGCTGTGTAGCCAGCGCCTCGTCAGTATAAGATTTACAGCTGTGTAGCCAGCGCCTCGTCAGTATAAGATTTACAGCTGTGTAGCCAGAGCCTCGTCAATATAAGATTTACAGCTGTGTAGCCAGCGCCTCGTCAATGTAAGATTTACAGCCGTGTAGCCAGCGCCTCGTCAATATAAGATTTACAGCTGTGTAGCCAGCGCCTCGTCAATATAAGATTTACAGCTGTGTGCTCATCAAATAGAATTCAATATTGTATTATAACTTAATAAGACTGATTACGCTTGTATAAAATTTAGAATTATGATTTCAAAGTCAAGAAAAAAGATGAAAATATAAAGGCATCCACATTGAAATGGCATTTTTAATTTGTCTTTGCTGAAAAATGAATAATGATGTAGATTCAATTATTATATAAAATCTGTAAAGCATAAAATGAGCTAAATAGGAGTTAAGTCATAAAACAAAATTTGTTTCATATTCTATTAGCGGTTTTTCCTGTAAAAATTATGCTTAATTTAACATGCTTTCTTTTACATTCCATGCAAACAATATTTCAATTTAAAAAAGAAATGAAATAAGTAAGTTTTCAGAAAGCAAATATTATGCTTGAAATTGATCCATGATGTAGATTCGCATTAGTTTAAACTGATAAAATTCAGCAAGACATATAGAAATGTCAGCTGTTTAATATCATTGAATTGTAACCTTAAAAAGGTGCTTTGTTTGTTCAATATGTTGCCACCCGTAAAGACTATTTGGAGAAAAGCGGCGAAGATGTACCGTTAAGTCAATAATACGTAAGTATTTAAACATTTTCATACTTTCATGACATAATTTGATACTGTGTATGCAAAACAAAAAGTATATTTGGAATTATGTTTTAAATTATGTTTTCGTTAAAATCTATATCTACACAAACTAGCTGCAAATTTCTACAGGAAAGTAATATTGATATAAACGTGCAATAAATGAAACATTTAGTTCTTAACTAAATGTTTAAAACTATAAACAAATGGCAACTTTTCTTCATTTAACCTTAATTAGCAGGAGATTTTTAATGCTGCACTTATTCTTTGTCATGCAAATAAGAAATGGCTAAATTATCGAATTATTCTTACCATTTTAATAATATTAGACTTTATTAAAAGTATGGTATAACCTGTTTCATGTAGAAAGCGATGAAAATGTATATTATACTCATAGATGAAGTTATATGATCGTTACTGACCTATTAAAAATAAACCGGTTACTTTCCGTATCTGTTATTCTTAACCCTTTTGCTGCCAGAGAGTTATTGTTTTATTGATCACCTATTTGCCAGAGGGTTTTCTAAGAAATTACTATATCATTAATTAATATAATTATTATTATTATTCGTCATTAGTAGTATAATAATTATATATGTTTCCAAATATGCTAGTATAATAATAATTATTGTCGATGGTATAATTTTCTTTATATTTATGATTATTATTATTTTTATTATTAATTTATTATTATAATTATGATTATTATAGAAACGGCAAAAGCCGTCCATATGGCAAATACGCCGAAAATAACAAGGACGGCATAAGCTGTTCCTATGGCAGTGAAAAGGTAATATTGCAAAATTTGTATTTATTTTATACATAAGAAAACTATAATAATATTAGTCATATATTTTAACCCAGTGATTATAAATATATTACATAATGAATCAGATGATACACACATTGAATTAAGAATTATCATTGTTTAAATTTCAACAATGTATTTGTAGACAACGATATATAAGGGTTACTTGTAAAACAATTTAAATTAAATGATACGTACATGATTACATGATATATCTCAGTTACAAAAAAAAAACAGGTTGCAGTCAATGGCGTAGCTGGAAGGCCTCAATAAACGGTAGAATTTAGATGTAAAAATCAATTGGATGTACAAGTTATTCTTAGTTTGTGTAGGCTACTATTTCTTAAATTGGTAAAACTTCATGCTAGATTTACAAGATAGGACATGTCTTATTTTTAATTATTGTAGTTAAGACCTCCAAATATGACACGTGAAAGATCCTTATATTGTGTGCAATGAATGATTAAGTGTAAAAATGCACAAATGTAGTAAGCAAGTGTACAAGATAGATTAAACCACGCATTAAATATCAAATATCGTTATTGTTAATGTATATAAGGTTACTTGATGTTTGTGAGAAAACAAGAGCATTCGCATTTGGCCAGAAATCACCATTGCCAATTTCAACGTTTCAGACACATATTGGACTGTTTTGGTATAAATGTCTCAATTTCTTGGTCTCTGCAGCACCGATAATTTTCGTCAAGCATAACAAATTCTTAACAGGCGTATTGAATATTGCCGACGATCTCGTATGTTTTGGTAAGACACATGGGGAACATGAAGCCAATTTTGAGCTTTTTTGCAACGTCTTCAAGATCGAAACCTTACATTGAATAGATACAAATGTTCATTCGGATAATCTAAACTCAAGTTTACGTTGGAGTAAAAACCTCATCACCAGCTAAATTTAAAATATGCATTGAATCTTGTAATTCGAACCCATTAAACCGCCTGTTACGTTCACGCAAGGTTAAGCGGTGGCTGCAATTCTGATGCCTTAACCCTTAAAAATTAATTTTGGCAGACAGTGCACAAATACAGAGACTCTTAAGCCTGACAAGTGTTAAACCACTCATACACGGGACTTTGATTTGAAAGACTGTTAAGTAATTACAGTGGGCCAGCCAAGGAATGAGACAAACAATGTAGAGATTACAAGGTTCGCGCTCTATGCGATTGAACTATGTTGGTTTTGTTTTTTATAGTTAGTTGATTGTTTCATGGTATTTTATATTACGTGAAAAGAAAACTATGATGTTATTCACATAAAATCTGTATCAGCGATAACATTATCCCGTATCATATTCTCATTTACGCTTAAATACATTGATATAACAATGGCACATGAGAAGAAATTTATACGTGTTATTTTGACTTTCATAACGCAGCATCATATTCTTGAAACGTAAAATCAAAATATTGCAAGGTTTTATCACAGGTGGCAGTATCAGTGTTTGGACACACACCCCTATCTGCCCCTGGACCCCTACAAAAACCCTGAAAAAAAATTCAACACTCTAAGGCTTACTATAAGGTACCAAATACAAAACCACCGATGAAATTATATAAAAAAAATTTCCACTATCAAAATTATAGTTATAGAAAGGTGAAAAGCCTAAAATATGTTCATTTGTCAAACAATGTGGAACGCGAGAAATCGTCGTTTTGGCGACTGAGGCGCATTCCGAAGGCATTTTGCTGCATCATTCATTTACATCAATAAAAAGAACTTGAATTCCACAGCTTACTTAATTCAAGTTTAACGAATATTAATATTCTATCGATTTTTTCTATTTCACGGTAATTTTTGGCTTGTCGCTGCCATTTTGGATTCTGATACCTGTGTGTTATACGCGATCTGATTGGACGTCAAATTTGGCTCGTCCAATCAGATCGCGTATTTCAATCCAGGTATAAGACTGCAAAATGGCTACGACAATTCAAAACATACCGTAAAACAGAAAAATCGGAATGATAATGATATTCGTTGGACTTGAATTAGATAAGCTGTGGAATTCTAGTTCTTTTTATTAATGTTAATGAATGATGCAGCGAAATCCTGCCGGAATGCGCCTCAGTCACCGAAACGACGATTTCTCATGTTCCACATTGTTTGGCAAATCAACATATAGTAGGCTTTTCACCTTTCTATAACTATAATTTTGATAGTGGAAAAAAAATTTTTTTTATATAATTTCATCGGTGGTTTTGTATTTGGTACCTTATAGTAAGCCTTAGAGTGTTGATTTTTTTTCAGGGATGTAGTAGGGGTCCAGGGGCAGATAGGGGTGGGTGTCCAAACACTGATACTGCCACCTGTGGGTTTTATGAATTGGTGAAATGTCTTTCGTGCAGTTAAAGATCTTTAAATTACTTAATGATAGAAAAGGATTTTTCATTGTTCGCAACTATTGGTTTTTCTAAATTAATTTAATAAATAATTATAGAAAATGTGTTTTACGTTAAGTCCACCTTTTGGATTTTCTGACGTGTTTGACACGAGACTATTTACCGATACGCACGCCATCAAATTATTGTGGTTTCGTTACGAGAATCAAAAGAAGGACAAAAATAGAAAGATGTAACTATGATTGATAATGGAGGAAAATGTAATGTTAAATAACTCAAT